TTGCAATAAGTATACAACTACGTCATTGTTTATATTGAATTATGCAAAATATTTCTATTATTATATTTACTGTGGTATGCAAGAAACTTACACTGTTTTCGGGTTTTTAATACTTATACTTCATCACAAACTGTTCAGATTTTTCCTCGACGAGATTTTTAAAGTAAAGAAAACTTAAAATGAGATTTTCGGAGAGTTTGTCTCAAGGATATATAATTACTGTTAGTTATGATCAAAAAACGAATAACAGATTAATATAAAACTTACAGGTAAACTATGTCGACGTACCACAAAACAACCATTTGATGAAAACGTTTAAAAAACTATTTACGATTTGTAAAGATAACTTTTGACCAGTTAGTTTTTTTTCTTATTCTCATCTCAACAGTTGACTGAATAAAACACCAAAGACTGCTTTCACAACAGTACTTAAAATCACCTGATAACTAACAAAAGTAATATTTCTCTTATTTAAATTGTAGGACTATGAAGAAAGAATATTTTCTGCGCTAACTTAACGACTGGATAAGGAAAGATATCATTTAAGGGTTTTGGTATATGAAAAGTAAGCTAAAAACCAGTATAAATCAAGCGCTTAAATAGTCAGTCAGGATTTTTACGAACATTTAAGGAAATAACAGTTGATTTTCGTCCTAATGAATTGAGGTTTTCTGAATGATAACTTAGGTGGAATTAGACTGACTCACTGTTAAATCAGCGTATAATTCACAACCTACCTAATTCATGTAGCTCGTCCATCGTAACTACCTTTGTGTTCCTCTAGTTGTCTTGAATTTTATATTTCTGTTTAAACGGTTATTATTTTCATTTCCTTACAACCTATTATCAGGAAGCATACAAGCCTACCGAAATTTGGATTTGAGGTCTCCATAGTAAAACACTTAAAACTATGTTAGATTATTTTAAAGAATACACAACCAACCTGGATCTGGGTTTATTGTAAAAATGAACTTTATAAATAACCACTAGATCTTTTGTTCTCCTAATACAAATTATTTTCATAATCATTAACAGTAAATGTTTCATGAAAATAGGTTATTTCTCCGCTAGATTTGAGATCCGTTCCAAAAGCAGAACTACTCAAAATTACTTTGCACTTTATAATGACCCGAACTTTGTTGATTCAACTATCGTCAAAGAATTTAAAACCAAGAGTAATACAATAGTGCTGATGGAATGATGTATTTCACACGAACCAATGAAGTCAACCCAATGGGAGTAATAGCTTGGTGTTCAAACAAGAAAGTGCCCCAATATTCAATCCCCAAATGAGCAAATAAAAAGTAAACTCTCCAAAGGTCTATTTAAATGTGAAGCAACGCTAACACAAAATAGAAACGGAGCTCTGAAACAGGATCTACTACTAAATGTCGAGTTTTTACTGTTCAGTTCTTTTAATTTTGGACAGAAACAACCTCTCTTTTGGCTTACAGACTTTTTTAACAAACCCCACGATAATGCTTGTAATTACACACTGATTATATTTTGGACTTACCAACTAAATATTACTTGCTTCTCACTGTTTATGTTAGAAATTGTGTACACTACTTACCACTTCAAATACAAATCCAACAGTTATTAAGAAAATGCTTCTAAATAGCTACTAACGTATTTAGCCTGGTTGATAATATTTTATTTGTAGGTGCTTGAGCTTCCCTTTGCTGATATTTAGGACTGAAAATGATCAATCTCTTTTGGGATATATTCACTCTGTGTGGATGCCAACATAGTTGTGAGTCTTAGTAATATTTGGGTTATGGCTAGTAATAGAGTACAGAACGTCTGTATTTTCCTTACACAGGACTCTTAAAAAAACATCACCTGCATCTCACTGTTGATGTTCACATCGAGATTTAAACTCAATACCCATAAGTCCGAATGCTAGAAAATCACACATTAGGTTAGTGATTCATGACAAACGCCAGCATGTTCAATGAAAAGGACTCTACTACTATCTAATATAAAACATACAAAATGAGCTGAAATTTATGTTTTTTTCTTAATCTTTTATTTAAATGTACTTATTGGTATAGAAAAGTTTGTTATACTGAATCAAAGTTATAATTTCGTTGCTTCCCGTTATAACAGAGGAAGAAAATTGTTGTACAGCTTTTTTCATCTTATATTAAAACTAGTATCAATCTACTCTACTCCACAGTATTTTCTGATATTAAAAGGATGAAAAGTGAAGTAAAAATTAGAAATATTGATCAGCCCAAATTATTCTCCTCTTTAGACTAAAAAATTGATTTCAGAAATGATCCAGGTAGTACGAGTTCATAGAAAAATAACTAGTATGATGAGTATGAATAAAACTATAAAAAAGAACTTAATACCGTAATTTCATGATCATTATAGATAAAACAAGTGACAAATATTTAGTTGTTTAGGTAACAATAAGCAGTATATTCATATTGACTTCTTAGAATTATATATATATATATATAACATTCTTCTGTGAAATCTTTTTTAACTGCCATTGAATTAGCTCTTACTATAAATTTGGTGTTCATCTTGTTATGCCAATGAGGTATGGCAACTAGGAACGATGAATCTATGTCCCTGGTCCTACGTTGTAGCTGACCGTTCAACTGATTAAAATAATATCAGAACAGCATGAAATCTATTCGAATAAACAGATTTAAATCTTGAACTGTTGGTCAAATCAGTTGACTGAATACTATTAAATTTAAATCAAAAAGTCATAACCTTGAATAATTCGGCGGACATGTACGAAATGAATAAAATAACTACCAGTATGATGACGTAACTATAATAATTGGACGAGTCATTCAAAATGAAGAAAACGACTAACAACATTTGCTCAAAATCCGAGAATGAGTGAACCTTACATTACGTCACATAAAAAGCGGAGCACAAATAGCTTTGTAAAATAAGTGTTAAACGTGTCAACTAGTCGTTTATTCTAATGTAGACTGCATATAACATGTAAATTAACGAAATTTTATTTTTCTTTGCTCACAATAAGATCTAACAACCAACGTCCTCACTTAATGATAGGTGAGCTAGTAAAGTAGGAATGACAAAATAGGTAACGGTTTCTACTTATGAATTCTTTATATGGTCGTTGTCATGCAATTCCAACCTCGTATTCCTACGCAGAATTTACAAATAAAGATTTTGTCTGATGATGAATTTTCCATAAAACTATTTATAGCTATGGATAAGATTCAGAAAGAAACTCTTAGTTCGGATATTTTTACGATGGAAAATATCTTCATCAGTAATAATCAGGTATGCAGCCATATTACTACAATATCAAAATCGAAAAGTTGATGAAAAGCCTAGAAAAATTAAGCTTCCTGAAAACACTAAACTCTACCACGTTTCATCAATTCTGATAGGAAATACTTTTGATTGGTAGACTCTCTGCACATTGGGTGAAAAGTGGCTTCAAAATCACAAGTATCCTATTGACTTGTCCTCATAGTACAATTATTTCATTATTTAAATGAACCACTTTATCTTCCACATTAATCATTCTGTGATTGTGTCGAAGAACTTTGGGTCAATTAACCAATGTATTCTTCATAATCCAACTCGTCAAAAATCCAAACCGTGATCAACTGATGAAACCAGATTATGACAGGTTTTATACTGCTGGTGAAGCGCCAGTTAAGAAGAAACAGTAATTTAGTACGATTCAATTCATTAGATAACTGTCAGTAAATCCATAACAAAATAAAATAATAGACTATATTTAAGAATTCATATGATTTATTACATTTAAAAAGTTGTCGACCACCATAAGTATTGAGAAATAAAAATACGTACTAAAATCATCTGAAATAAATACAATCCTTTCATGTGACTTTAATTACTTATAGCAAAACAAGATTTATCTTATCATTTAGATAATAATTAAATTAATTTTCTTAAAAGTAAGCAGATACTAATATTTCCAGAATTACTTCACAGTAAGATACATTTATTTATGACCACTTTGGAAGAGGCACAAAATCCATCCTAGATGTACCAGTCACCAAGTTGTTACGAGTTTATGTATACCATACTTAAACCTTTCCCAGTCAGACAATACTGTCTGATAAAAGTTTCTGTTGGTTTCGCCTTTATCTTATAAGATAGGAGAAAAACCTATTAGATGCCTGAACATATGCTAGTACCCTGAACAGTAACACTGTTGGTATTAAACTTGGTTTCCACCAAAATACTAACACCATAGTATTTCTTAATTCAATATTGTCACAAATGTCCCCTATGAATAAACTTAATAAAAACCTAGGGGCTTAGACTGTTTTATAAACCTTCTAATAGCAAATACAGGATATTTCGGATACCGAAACCCATTTAATGATTTATAAACGTTAATTAATTGGCACTCTTGTTTAGACAACCAGTTAGTATGTTAATTGCAACTGTATGCTTAATGAATCTATTTTTTATCATAAAGTAGACAGTCGTTAAACCTGTAATGTGAATTAATTTTACTTAGACTTACACATCGCATGATTTGGGACGAGTATAAATCTCGAATCCTCATCATTTCGAAGTAACCTAGGAACCCTTTTTTAGTTGTAAACTTCGATTTATTATTACCTAACAATTTACGTTAACTCGTAAACTAGTGTGTTATTACTTATCAGCGTGGACAGATTTCCTTTGAAAAGATGTAAATCATTTAAAGAACATTTCTATCATTTGGAAAATGTGCACCACTGTCGGACCTTAAACTAGGGCAGTTATTCAATTGTTTTTGATACGTCAAGGTCTTAATGACTACTCAGAAAATCATTGGAATCTTCGAAGTAAACCATCGTATTGAGCAATAACAAACTGATGTTCATTAGTAGCTTCTAACAAGATGAATGTCTTGATAACCCGGTTACAAAAGCTAAGATCTCTTACATTATTGAAACCATAAAGAAAAGAAAATTGTCATTTGCTTATACTGAAAATGAACAGAGAAATTTATTGTTCTCTGATTAGAATATTAATGGGAATTAGTTGAAGTTGTTTTAGGTCACTGATTTCTATAAATTTTCCAACAAAAATAGACAACCTCAGCATTCTGGTTTATTTTCTTTCTACAATGATTAAACTTTTATATACGGCTGTGAAGAGTCAGTTAACTTGGTTTCACAAATCAAAGAAAACGATGCAAACACACAGGTAATTGATGCATACTAACTGACTAGTTATAATGTACGGTCGATACAATATAGAAAACTGAATTGATTATAATTAAAAACCTCCTTTGGGACATCAATGATACAACAGTAAAATGCAAACATGTAGGCTAAGTATACGAAAAACATTTATTCATTATTTATAATATATGTATTTTTAACTGTTCTTGATATCCTTAATTTTTTCAACTAATTTTTACTCAAAAACTAACAAATTTGCTTGAATCAAGAACGCCAGGTATTTCGATTCAGTGCGAATTTTTATAGCCCACATAACTAGTTAATCACCATTTGGATGCAGTCGGATCAGAAAAGTAAAGAACAGTTTACATTATATAAACACATACTTCGTTGACAAACATAATAATGATCTTCACCAGAAAAAAAAAGAACACGTTCATTAAATTCAGCCTTTGATGAATATGGTTAAACAGAGTAGTACTATCGGTACAATTTTTTAATAAGCATATTCTTTTCAACCACTTCTTTCAATAATGTGGATTGGTGAAGATAAACACGGGAAATGGATGGGTGGATAATAAGTGATTAGTTTAACGCTGTAAAGCAGAGGATAAAATAGACGTGGATTTGTTAAAAATGTGTTAGTGACGGTCCAACCAGAACTAACATCACAAAGGTATTAGCAATTATAAACGATGATTTACATCAAACTTCATACCATTTCATCGTCTAAACTTTCACTAAGCAGGAAATTCGCAGCTGCATCCTCATTTTTCTCGCATGCGTAATATGCCTACGAAAAAATAGGTTAAAACATCGTTACCGTACTCTGTGGAACAAATCTTTATAAAAATTGATTACAAAATCATCAGTATGATTCATTTATAGAATTTACGTACGTGGCGTGTACCCACGTAAAATCTTTTATTTAGCAAAAATGTATCGTTTCTTATTCAGACTTCACCACTAAACTGATAAAGGACAATCTGCTGTTCCCAAATGACGCTTTTGTCATTGTGCTGCTGTAAATTGTGATAAGTCACGCTGGGCCAAGTTTGTGTTAAATTTTATGTTGTTTGCGATTGACATATGCTTTGAGAACTTTAAAATATACAGCACAATTGAAAGCTGATTGTCAAAAATTAACCAGACAGAAGTGGTCACTCATTACATGAAACCAAATACAATTATGATGTACGAGTTCGTCTTGATAGACCTGCCATACACAACAGATATCACAAAGCAATCAACCAAGTTTGCGAATGTTATCTCCCCAAGTTATGTGAACTATTAGGAAGCGATTTTACAGATACATGGAAACAAACGACCAGCAGCAAACACTATGGTTTATGATCATACGAAATTATGATTTGGATTTTTAAGAAGTGGAACAAGGTATGGAGTAGTACAGTTAGAGTTCAGTTTACCAACACCAAATTAAATATTACGGGTTCAATACAAAATGTCACATGTACAAAACTAAGGTTAAGAGAAGTTCTGCTATATGCTCTTCAACACTGACCCCATCGAGTTAAAGATGTTCGATGATTCTATGTTAAATTATTCTTATCACTGAATTCTCATTATTCTATACCAGCACTTAAATTGAGGTCAATGTGCGATAAATGCCTGAGCTTAACGGTGAACATGATACAAGAATTGTTCTATTGGGACATCAACATTGATCAATCTTGTTTTAGAGCTTTTAAAGCTTGCGTCGTAAGCTGACGCTAAAAATCGGTAGATGCTAAGGAACGATATGATAGAATGATGGTTATTTCATAGTAATTGGGTGTATTTCGATGACTCCCTGCATAGTTTTGTAAACTACGCAATCTGGCGAATAGAATCAGTTAAACAAACAAAATACACAATTAATAAGCTAACAAAAAGTGACATGTGAAAATTTCAAAATGTATATGAGTATAACCAAAAGCTTCAGCTTGAATCTCCTTGTCTTTCGTTTTCGGTCGAACCTGACATCCTTTGATCTACTCCCATAGCAAAATAGTACTAGGTACAGCTTCCGAAACTGGATGTGACGTATAGCATTAAAGCAAATTTAGTTCCGTGATTATGTTCTTCACACACCAAATAGCCTTATCACTACTAGAAGTTTTCACTAGGGGATAGAAATCACGGAAATTATAGGAATCAAGTACGGATAACCGTCGAAAAATTCAAACCTACAATCAAAAAAGATTAAGGGTAAATGGCATAACCCCACATAATAAAGTGCCACGAAACGAATCATTGGTACAGAGATAAAGTAAATAAAATTTGCTTAACTTGGACTATATGGAAGGTAAACTTATCTGCAGTAAGCACGTAACAGCTCAAAAACAACTTAAATATATTAACTATTGTAAGTCATACGTCGGTTAAGGCGAAAAGAGTGCTCGAAATAGATGATGGTTAATGAAAATACTGTGAGTTATGTTTGGAAATGACGTACGCTCTATTATTTACTTAGTTTATGTAACCTAACACATTTGGTCAAGTGAACAAGCTTACATTTTCGTAATATCGTCAGCATAGCGTCTAACAAAAGACTGCTTGTTCTATATTTGTGAGGAAAGACAATGCTTCTAACGGTACCACAAAGAGTAAACAATGTATTTTAGAAGTTTAATTCACCAGTGTTTATGTTTGGTTCTTAACAATTTTTTTATTGGGTTTGTATCATATCAAAACTAGCTGTATGAGTCATCTATACTCAAAAAGATATCTAAATACTGGTTTCTGGCCTTTTATGTAAATATTTTAGTTACTGATCAATGGGAATGACGGCAAGAGTAAATATAGTGTCTATGAGATAAGTGATAAAATATTAAAGAACAAACAAGAGATGACAGTGATATTGAAAATATGGATGATCATTGCTTCTTGACTGTCAACAGCATAAAAGGAAGTGTCAACTGAAGTACAAATTAAAAAATAAAATAGGGTATCCGGTTTTCAAGTGAGCATTCAGCATTTTGATGCTAAGATTACCATATATTATTTCTACTAAGTGAATTACAGTTAAAAGATGGTCTAACTGAAACAAAATGTGTAGTCGCAGTTCCCTGATCACCGGCTTTAAATTCTAAATAAACCAGTAAATGAGTTTCTGTTCATATAGTTATTCCTTGGTTTAACCGCATTGAAATTCAGTTCCCTTTCCAGGATTTTTCTTATTAGTATAGACAAGATTAGGACAATGAGAATACTTTGGATGGTAAAGACTTAGTTGTGGTTTAATATAAGCTAGCCTAAAAACGAGCTGAAACCATCCTACCAATAGCATTGCTTCCAGTGAAGTTTCATCACATTTTTGCCATGTCACGAGCGACAGCTTAGTTGGTGGAGCAGTCGATTAGATTCATCAATCCTTAGACTCGAAATTAAGTAGACAAACTCTTACCTGATAATTTATACAAAATTGAGCGAAATATGTAATTTAATACTTGGAATAGAAACAGCCTATTATAAAGTTTCGAGAGAAACTACTGACACTGGATACATTTCTTGAAAACTTACTTGGATAACCAACTCCTCCGGGAACCCTAATGCCTTTAGACGGTCCACAGCAGCGCGTTCCTCAGCAGTCATAGTAAGAACAGTTTGACGCTGACCACCGGGTCGAGTAGTACCAGTGACTGGGGTATTAATAAATTCCAGAAATGCTTGTTCGTTTTCTTGAATGAGCTAAATAAGTTACATATTTTAAAATTACAATTATATAAGTATCAACTGTATGCTCATTACTACTAAAAATATTGAATCATTCGAATAGTTAATTTTATCAACAGTGGATATTTGACATTATGGAGAGCATCCCCTTTGATGGAACATGCATACTACACAAGTTGAAAGGCTATAAAAAAACGATTGGGACGAAAAAACACTTCAGGAGAATAAATGGGTTAGCCAGAATGAGGTGCTAACCAAGTCAGGTCAAAGTATTTCATATCTCGATCTCACTAACACTGATATGAAGATTTAGTACATTTAGCCATACAAGTCTTAGCTGCCAACACGACCAAGAAGTAAAACCTTTAAAGCATATGTAACACTGCATAATTCATGAGTAACCTCAAAAGTGAACCTGATTAACGGTGATTGTGGCACATACCCATGAGACTTGAAAAAACAATTAATGAATCTAAGATCTAGATATAACGCTAAACCCTGGAAAGTTGTCGGAAAATCCCAGTTGCGAGATTAGTCTGCAACTATTAAATGCTTGCATAATCATTATAAAAACCCTGGAAAGTTGTTGGAAAATCCCAGTTGCGAGATTAGTCTGCAACTATTAAATGCTTGCATAATCATTATAAAAACAGATTATAAAAATTCATGAGAAAATGCTAAAGAAAAACATACTCTAAATAAATCTGCATTATCATTCCCTATTTGCTGGATTAGCTGAGGCAGAAGCTCTGGATTTGCTTGTACTAGCGCTCTCATTTGTTGAAACTGGGGTAAACTTGCGAGTGCAGCGATCGGGTCTTCTGAGCCAACAGACTCAGAGCCTGGGGTATCAGTATCCCCAGGCCCTTCTGGAGATACACTTTCAATTTCTTCCCTTTGCGGTGGCTGATCAACAATGTCAACATTAGGAATGTTTCCCGACGAAAGGTATTCAAATGCTCTATCTGGGTTGTTGAAGCCTGCTCGCATTGCTTGGATAACCTAAATTTGCCATCATTATTTTACAAGAGACTGACCAGTGATCTCTCGAAACCCATGGACACTAGTTCTTTTACAACCCGCTCAAAGTTCTCTCCGGTAACTAAGGAACTCTCTCCAAAACCCAAAGTATTTATTGCGCTAGATGGGGCTGTTGTAATTGTAGGTAAGTTAGATTGAGGACTTGAGTCTGGTTTACTGCTCGGCGCTTCATTTGCTTCTGTTACGGGGCTCTTTTTGTCTGTCGTTGGCTTTGTTTCACCAGTAGGATTAATTTGGACTGAAGCACTAGCTTCTTTCGTTGTATCTTTGGATGGCTTTGATACAGACATTACTACAACGAAACCAGATTCCGTCACTTTGTAATCTTTTAGCGATTTACTATCTTCCATCACCTTGCCTAAGTAATGTAACAAGCTATAACCGATAATTTACCTGAGTGTATTAGTTTCTGAGTCTTTGCATCGAATTCGCTGCCCCATTTAGCTTCGATCTTCTTTTTAACGTCGCCAACCTACGTACAATATCACACCAACCTGTGAATTACCAGATCATCTTCTTGAAAGTCAAGAACAAACGTCTGCTGCATTAATGTTTTGAAAGTAACTTTCATTGCGTTGAGAAAGAAACGACTCGCGAGTGTAAATCAAAGAGATAGCCACGGCACACTGACTCAAAGCTATAACATTCAACACAGTGAAAGAAAAATTCAAACAGACAATCTTAAATAATAACTTATCAAAAATTGAGTGATTAATTCCCTCGGCTTAAATGAATTAGTTATATACTTTAAAATGAAGCACTCCACGTAGGATACTGGCTGAAGCGCGGTTTTCAAATGGGTCTTAACATTTTCTTTTGTATCTAGTAAATACAAGTCAAAATTTTGGGGTTTCATTCAACATCTCTGATGCAATCCTGATTTTCTTCAGATTACTTTGACTTACCTTAAACCAAACTTAACAAATCATATTCAAGCCAATAGTTCATAACTGGAGTATCATAAGAAGCCATATGGGACCCTTTTGTCCCTCATATTTATTATGACTTCCAAGAAAGCCTCATCTCATCAGTCGCCATCCATGCGGATGAAATCAAGTTATAGTTTGCTATCAAAAATGATGGGGATTCACTAGAACTTTGAATAGATTTTGTGTCGTTTGAGGAGTGAACGCGAAACAACGTTTTGAGGTTTAGCTTCAAAAAGTTCAAAACTATGTTATTTTGAACTACCAAAGAAAATCGGGACAACTATTTCCTCTATTACTTAAACCGCACTAGAATCGATTTGGAGTGCCACTTATGTGTCGTACTAATGAAATTCGATGACATCAGCAATAATCCGTGAAATGTAACTGAGGCCAAAGCTATTCCTCACCTCGTTCTCAGACAGCTAGACACGCTAGCTCCTGAGTTCCTTTCAACACTTGTCAAGACTTGCGCCACCCATAACTCGAATTCCATAACACCGCTGCATCTCCTCTCCGAAAAGAAGGTAGGGAACAAAGTGGATCCTAGGACTGACAAGCCGAACTTCTAAAAATCAACTTTTTCATCACAGGGCACCCTTGCTAAGTTGTAGACGAACACGACATGACCCAGTAACGTCATACAACACAATGAACACTCCAATCTACCCCGAACCCTATCAGCGTACTTTTTGAGTTAACCGTCGGTAATTAGCACAGCGGATGTTTGGGTGACATAATCGCTTTTTCCATTATGGGTCAATCCTGACTGGAATGCTCTCCAAGTCGATATGACAATTCTCACAGTTGGTGGCTTCAATAGCTTAGAATGATACATTATGAGCTGAAAGGAGAATAACGCCTTTAAACTGAAAAAAACCAAACCTTAGGCTTGATGATGGCAAAAAGGACCTAAACATTTTAAATTTTCGGGTGGCGAGGTCTCGACAGAGAATGATGCCGAAGCCACTCTGGGTGCAGCACAAAGCTATTTAAATGGACTTCAGATCTGTTATACAGATGCCCGAAGCTTCCACAACAAGTGATCGGAGCGGGGTGTACAGCTAGACTTTGCAAACCGGATGTAATTGCAGTCACAGAAACTCGGTTGGGTCAGTCTATATGCAGTATGGAATTTGATTTTGAAGGTTTCACATCAGTGAGAGCTGACAGAATCCAGAAGCGTAAAGGAGGTGTAGCGGTAAATAAATCCCCAAAACAAATAGTTCTGTAAGTCTTCGACATTGGATGCTGACCACACTAGTTTTAATGGACTCACCTAGCTGAAGGCGCTCGGTCACGCATCCTCACCAGATCACGAGTGAGAACGACGTGCTCAACAACCCCTGCAATCGCTAACCAGATAAGATCAGTCGATTCACTATATATTGATAGCCTATCAAATACATCATTGAACCTCCTAATTTCTGTCTTTTGATTTCACTTGGTGGGTACGATTCATATCAAAAGGTGTTACTGGTTAAAGCGTTGTCAAAACTCCAAATACCTGTGGCATCTTCAAAGGAATGGCTCTATACATCAAGAATACTACCCCATTTACCATTGTCAACAGTGCATTCCATGAGTGAGGCGTGCGAATTAGTTGGTTGCCACTTGAAATGCAAAGGACAAGAGGTGCAAATTGGTTTGTTTTAATGTAGTCCGAGCTGTAACGTAAGTGAAGTATTACTAGACGGTATCAATATATGGTCACAAAGTGGTCGATGTCTAATCCTAGGAGACTTTAATGCACCCACCGGAAAATCTGAGGATTGAATTCTTTCGAAAAGGAACTAGTTGATGCGGTTATCACATGTGCCCTAGAGCAACACGTGAAAGAAGCGACTAGGTATGACCCGGATGCCGAATCATCTTCACCAGATTTTACATTAACCTATTATGGGGATGACATTACAAACCTCGATTACATGCTACCCTTAGGTAAAAGTGATCATGTAGTTCCAAGCTTCGACTTCCATATAGTTTTCAATAACCAGAATGTGTCAACCCGGATTATATCAATCGTCCGGATAACAAACATACAAGATGTTATATGGCATCGTCAGTAGATTGAACAATAGATCTAGAGTTCCCAATTGAAACAGTTTGAGTTGGATTTCGAAATTTGTACTTAAAAGTCACTGCACCCCACATCCCTTGGACTACACCAAGAGATTCGAGAAACTCCCCTCCGTGGTTCAGTGTGAAGGTTCGCGCCCTTCTTCGTGAGAGGAGAAGGAGGTGAGAGAGACTTGGGTCACTGTGGACTGATGTGACAAATTTTCAATATCGAGAGGCTCGAAATACTTATACCTCGACCCTCCGTAAGTTTAGGTTGTACGAAGGAGAAACTGTTAAGGAATCTATAGAATGGCCTAAACGCTTGTATTCGTATACAAACGAAGGGACTGAATGAAGAGGAAATATTCCAGCATTAAGGGGAGACAGTAATGCCTAGTCATTAGTGGAGAACGACTATGGTAAAGCCCAGGTATTCTCAGACTACTTTAGCAATGTATATGCCGTAGAGAAACACTTCCCGTCAGTTCGTACAAGGCATCTACACAAACACACACACTGGACACTGTGACCATTAAAGAACTCGATGTCTTTGGTTCGCTAAATAAGCTTAATATAGGCAAATCTATGGGACTCGATGAAATTCACCATTTGTCATTAAGGATACTGGAAAATTTCGACGTGAATCTCTTAAGTATATGTTTTAATCCATCGGTGACCCATGGTCGTTTGCCAAAAGACCAGAAGAACGCCATAGTAGGTCCTGTCATCAAAACACATAAGAAACATAAGCCTGAGAACTACCGATCTGTTAGCTTAGCCTTTGTGGCTACTGAAATTTTGGAAAAGATTATTCATAAGGAGCTTTTTGATTATTTTGATGAAAACCGGATTCTCTCTGAAAAACAGTATGGATTGAGAACAAGTTATTCCCGTCTCACTATCCTAATATTGGCACTTGAAAGCTGGTGCGCTGTTAAAGACCAAAATTTGCCTGTAGACGTAGCCTACCTTGACTTCAGCAAAGCTTTTGACAAAGTTCCTGACAACGGGCTGTTATATAATTCAAATTTTCATATATTTAGCTGAGCGCAGTAAAGGAATTTCGTATCTTATTTTGTTTTACTTTTAATTGTTGGTTTACTTTGTAGGTCGAATTTCACTACACAGTTATTATTATCATCATTATGGTTTAACCCTTTCACTAGGTGTACATTTCTTTTCTCTCTCCTTTTCCCATCTAAATAAATATTTTTCTGAAGATTACGAAGTTTGTAATAAGGACAATAACTTGTGTTGCACTTAAATTAACTTCTCAGACACGTTTTAGCTTCACTATGCACATATGACTCATACATGTCGATATTTGGTTATCCTTTCACTTAATTGAATCTTTCATTGCATCACTGCAAACTATAACTGCACAAACAAATATCTTACTACAATAATAAGTTATTTTTTCATAATTATTTTCTATTTTATGCTTGTTACTAATTTGACGATACACACATGGTCGTTTATTCTTGTTCTGTGTTCATAAACACGCCTATTAAACTATTTGCGTATTTCACGTCTCCTTTATTTCTATTCCTTTATTTTCTTCCTTTCCTTCTTTAAACTCAATCAAATATTCTTCTGAATTACACAGAACCCGATTTATTATTATTCTATTGTTATTATTCTCTTTTTCAAATATGTCAAATATAATGCTATCATTATTGAAACTTGTGTATTATTGCATTTTTGAAGAGGCCGGGAATGGTTTCTTCACAGCACGTATGTATCCCAAAAGATTTTTGTGAATAATAATAACAATAATTGACGAAACTGACTAATACATTTTATAGCATCTTGAATACAGACTAACTTATACAGAAAAGAGATTTTGAAATGGAAAAACCATGATCGATTTCTCATTCAAAATGATCTTTATAAACGACATCTGTAACTATTGTGTTATTGCGTTAAAAAGCATTCAGTATGGGGATTAAGATTAAGGCCAAATCGGTTAGGATGAATCGAAACTTCAGCCACAAAGCCAAGCACCCATGGCTATCCCAACATAATAATGATCATTTACCGTCTTCAGTAAATTGTGCAATAAATATGTTAGCTTAGACATTATCTTACTGTTTAAAACACTACCCGAGGTAATGGCTTCTAGTGACTTACTTTTATCACGAAAACATGATTGGTTTAATGAAAACAATTATTATTATAACCAATTGTATCAGTGACTGTTTTAATGTGCTCTTTGTTTAACTGTGCTAAAAACATCCATCATACTTCGATTGTGACCTCGCGCGAATTCGGTTACGCTCAGTAACCAAGCTTGTATCCTGGCACGACCTCGGTATTCTTTCGATACCACGAGATCGCTAGCAAATATATCTCGACTTGGTCCATTAACTGCCTTCTGATATTTGGCTTTCGGGGGATTTTGTGGATATCCTGGCACGCGTTCCTTTGTAGTGGTGTTCATAGTCTACCGCGACTCGACACCATGCTACATGCTTATGGTCTTTTGATGAGTTTCGTTGGTAATGTCATTACCATGTAGTGACAGACAGAAGTTCAGCAGTTTGCCTTTAAACTAAGTTTGTAGATATTTTCGTACCATAATTCTTAATAAGAACAGGCGACTTTGATTTGTCAATGTTAAATGAACCATTTAAATTTTTGACTTTTCGAAATCTGTGGACGTAGATGTACTATGAGCGATCAAAAGTATCAAACACTAAAAACAACAATATCTGTTCCCTTCTACCTAATGTCCAATGATCACTTTAACTAGTTATGCATAGTGGTTTCTGGATACCGTCTTGAATCATTGCCATGACTTGACAATCACGTAAT